TCATTCTGAATCCAATTCATAGTCTTTTTTCAGCTTTTTGTTCAAAATGTTGTTTATTTCTTTATTTTTTATTTATGAAACTTATCCACATTCAAGTGTTTAAAAAAGAATGCATGAAGCTAGAATAAAATGTTTTTGTTTATAAGCAGATACCCTGTTCTGTTGATGTTTTGTATGTTCAGATATTCATCTAACAAAATATATACAAATTAATACCTAAATACGGACATAGTAGTATACTTCAAGTATGAAGTAAAGTTCACTTAAAGAAAACGTAAGAGTATACTTGCAGTATAAAACTACTAAACTAGTAGTTTACTGATATTATACTTCAAAGTGTACTAAAAATGCTACTACATGTATTTCATTAGTAAACTATCAGTATACCTGTAAGTTCACTTTTAGTATAGTTGCAGTACAAACTAAACATTTTGATGTAAACTAGTTGTGTACTCAAAGTTTACTACTGTTATACTTAAAGTATACTTTTATATACTAGAAAGTGGGCCAATTTAGTCCCAAGGAGTATAGTAATAGTACGCTTACAAGTATACTACTAGTACACTGATATTTGTATACTTACTACATAAAGTTTACTTAAAAATATACTTGAACTTTACTTAAGTATGCTTACTAAAATAAACTTGAAGTATACTACTTTTTGGTAAGGGTTATGTTACTGTCATGGGCATGCACACTGATATTTTCAGCATTAAGAAATCTAGTCTGTCGACGCTCAGATCACAGCGAATCTTGTCTATTGCCGTGACATATGACATAGTTCTTGCGACCTAATTAAATGGAAAAGTTAATGAAAAGATTACTGACGCGGCTTAATGAGGCAGTGGGAGAGTCCTGTGAGAACACACATGAGAATGCAAATACACACGCACACAGGAAACGCTTGTCGCAGGCGCACTAAGAATTTTTTATACCAAAAAATAAATAATAATAAACCTACAGGGAGGGAGTTAATGTTTGCATATGTAAATAAATAACTATATAAATGAATGAATGAATAAGTCCTAAATGTTGTAAACATTACATTGCGTTTGAAATATTTATTTTATCAGGGCATTCAACCAAAAT